TCCTCCCCACCCAGCCCTTCCACTGGCCGGGTGGACTGCTTCCCTGGATGGAAGCCCTCCAGTGGAAAGCTTTCTTGATGGAACCCTGGGCGTGAGGCTCCCAGATGTCCCTTGGGGGACATGCTCTGCCCCTTCCCCAGCTGAGCCCTTTCCACCTCAGCTGAGCCTCGACTGTGTAGCACCTCGTAAATTCTCTCACCAGTTTACCCCTCACGGCAACCCTGCTCGGACTTTCTGCGAACGAGGAAACTGAGGCACGAAGTCTTGCAGCTTGTAAGTGGCAGAGCTGGGCCCAGGGCCATGCTGCCTTCATGGTCCGCGGCCTCCTGCGACCCGGCTGCTGGCACAGCTGCAGACGTGGCCCGGGGGCCTCGAAGCGGGGCAGTGAAGGGACGGGGGACAGAGGCTCACCACACGCCTGAGAAGTCACCAAAGCCCTTTTCCCCAACCTCATCACGTTGTAATTATTCCCACTGCCCCACAGGCCCCACAGGCCCGCATGTGGCTCCCTTCTGCTGAGATGGGGCAGAGGGAAGCTGAGGCCTGGGGTCCCTGACAGCATAGTTTACAGAGCCCAGTGGGGGAAGTCCCTGCCCCTCCATGGGCCTGGGCTTGCCAGCTGTGAACCAGGCAGGTGGGTGGGGAGAGGTGGGAGCTGCCAGGGGGTGGGGGCACTTCTTGCACCACCATTCTAGAATCCTGCTCTGGGGACTCTGAAAGGCCAGATCTTCAGGGAGGGTGCCAAGTAGGCAGCACATTTGGCCTATCCAGAAGGGGAGGCCCAGGTCTGCGTGCCAGGCAGTGAGAGTGCTGAGTCTGTCACAGTGGGCTGGCCTTGTGCCCACCTGAAAAGTGGACCCAGAGGCTCTAGCATCTAGCAGGGCTGCCCTCTGCACAGCAGAGCTCCCGGATGTCAGCTGGTTCTCCCCTTTTGATGAGCTACTGGTACCAGGAGACTCAGACACAGCCCCATCCTCACGGGCTCCCAGGCTGGCAGTCTCCAACCTCCTACCCTCTTTGATTCCAAACGACCTGCCCCCCCCCTACCATACCTGCCCAAGAGTGCCCCGTGGCTCCCCACACACCTTCCTCAGCTGACTTCCCATGTCCCTGGAGTGGAGCAAACCTTGCTTAGGGCCCATGACCCACACTCTAGGCTGTGAAGGGCAAGGCATCCGCTGTGCCCCTGCAGGACCCAAGGAAGCCCTACCTGCCCCCCTGCCGGGCTCTGAAGCCATCAGAACCGCTGCCCGACTACAGGGACTGTGCCAGCCGCCTCTGTCCTGGCACTGAGGCAACGGCACCAGCCTCCTCCAGCACCTCTGTGCCAGGCCCGGGGCTCAGGGCTTCCTGCCGGCCCAGACTCTCAGTTTGGAGGTGGGAACTCAGGCCCGAGAGGGTAAGTAACGTACACAGGCGACCAGCTGGGCACTTGAAAGCCCCATTCAGTTTGGGCCCCACTTCCAAGCGGTGACAACACGCTCTGAAGAGGGCCCAGGCTGCCCCCTCAGGAGCTCTGACGGAAGCACGGTCACTCTGCTCGCCGGACACTGGCAGTGACCCACGGGGCCAGCGGGGCCACCCCGGGCAACAGGAACATGCAGACTGAGTGCCAGCAACCGTGTGGCCACACATCTACCTGCTGTGGGCCCCGGTGTTGCCACCTCTACAATTGACTGCTAACTCCGGGGGAAGTAAAGCTTCTCACGGTGGCTCTTCTAGCCACATCTCTGTAACTCCCACCAGACGAATGGGTAGGACGGTGCAAATAGGGTGTGTGAAATACGAACAGCAGGGGTTGGTCAGTTTTAGTGGTCTCTTGAGCATGAGCGCCATCGCAGAAGCAGGGGCAGAGAGAACTCCTGGGACCCTCGAGGAAGAAGAGTCGCATTAGAAGCCCTTGTCTGAAGTGGCAGAGGCGGCTGAGACCACGAGGCAGAGCAGCAGAGCAGCTGAGCTGAGGTGACCGCGAGGCAGAGCAGCATGCTGACTCCCTGGCCCATGGAGGCAGAGGCCAAGGGGCCAATGGCCGAGAGGCTGAAGACCAGAGAGACCCAGCTGCTGGCGGGAGGAGTCCCTGCCGAAGATCACTGACTGTATCCTTCATGTTTCGTGATCCTGGCTTGTGACACCATTAACTCCCCTGAGGAGCCCCCGCCCCCATGAGTTTGAATGTTGTCTGAGTTCCGGGCGGCCATTGAAATGAATTATTGAACCCAAACAAAGAGCAGCGTCTAGGGAGGAGAGCTTGGTGTCAGAAGAGGGCAAGGGAGATGGGGGTGGAAGCATGTCTGCCCTTGGCCGCGTGGCAATCGGCCTTGGCTGATTTCGTAGCAAGAGGTCAGGCGTGGCCTCCACACCATCCACTCAGATACCCACAGGCGTTCTCCTCCACCTCCCAGCCTGTTCTGCCCGGACCAGTCTGCTGAGCCGGGACCCTCGGAGGTTGAGAAGTGCCTGTCAGGGGCAAAGATGAGGAGGGCATCCTGGATGATGAGCCCATCTGCAGAAGCCGCCCTAAAGGCCCCCTGTGGAGGGTCTGCCCATCAGCTGGCACAGGAGAGCAGGGCATGACCAGCCAGGCCTGGGCTTGCTCTTCTCCACAGGAGATGCTGGAAATACACGCGCTGTGGGGCCCTCCCTTTACTGGCTCAGGGACTACGGTCAATTCACTCTCTGACCTTCAGGTGTCCCACTCCAGAAACGACCATAGGACCACCCACCTGGTAGACGGGTGGGAGGCCCTCACATCCATGGGATGAGGGTGGAGAAGGCTGGCTCGTACACACCTGCCAAGAGGTGGCAGCAGGGCGCCTGATCTTGACCAGACCCACCAGCACCCAGGGCAGGATGCCACCCAGGTCTTCGCGGGCTCACCCATGTATCTCCTAGGGGAGAAGACCCCCCCCCTCAAAGATGGTCACAATCTGAAGGGTGACCTCGTCCTCGCCAGCTCCACCCGCTACGCAGGAAGGAGCAGGGCCCCCACTTGATGCATCTGGAGACGACACCGGCCAACTCTAATCCAAACGATGGGCTTGTTGGTGTCTTTTCAGATTACGAGGAAAGGCAGGGCGGAGAGGGCTCTGCGGTCATCCCCGAGCCACTTGGAACCCACAGTTCGGGCTCGGCCTCTGGGTCCTGCACTTCAGTGTCACCATGTGAGACAGAGGTCCCAGCCAGCGAGGCCCTACACACCACAGCTGACCGGGAGGCAGGCCAGCTTGTTGAGAGCAGTCCTTCTGTGAGGGCCACTTTAGGACAGGCCCCTCGGGCAGTAGGACCACAGACACAGCTCCTGGGAGGCCAGGACGTGGCAGGGGTGAGTCACCTCGATCTGAGTCTGTGAAGTCCCTGGACACTATGGTGATTACCCAACTTGATAAAAGAATGAAGGGGTGGAGTCTAGTCTGTCAATCAGCCACACACAGCCTGACATCCTTCCTGTGGGTGTGGCCTTCTCACGAAGATCCTGGGAACTCTCTTGCTGGTACACATTCCTGGAGACAAACCACATGGAGCCACGCTGATGGCAGCCAGGGTCCTGGAGATGCTCCCACTGCCATTGGATCCACAGGACTTTCCACCCACCAGCCTGTGATTGTCCTGCATGCGGCATCATTGCGTGTGCTGCTGGAGTCTGAAGAGGAATTTATAGACTGGTATTGGACATATGTGCTAATATCGGACTTAGGGACTCAATCAGGGTTGGGCTGGGATATTTTCTCAATATACAATTGCTCTTTGCTATAAACCTCTCTCTGACACGAGTGTATCTGGATTTGTCTCTAGTCAACCAGACTAGCACACTGCCTCTCCAGGCTGTGGGGCGCTGAGAGTACAGGGGGACGGGACCTGGCTCGGCAGGCCTGAGACTTGGCTGAGATAAAGTGACGAGCTCAGCAGAGCCTGGCAATCAGGGAGGCCCGGTGAGTGTGGCCAGTTTCCTCCTCCCACAGCAGCACATCTTTGCTCCCAACTGTCTTGCTCTCGACCAGGGTTTGGCAAACTTCTGAGACGGGAGAACCAATCCAGATTCCCTCACAACAATTTTAAAATTCGTCGAGAGCCAGAAATGTATTTTTACAAACAAGTCACCGTTATCTGGATATCCTTTAAATGAAATGACGACAGTTTAATTTTCATTTTCTATTGAGCTTCGGAGTCACACATATGTCCCCAAAGAGCCGTCTTGTCACTGGCGGGCCCGTGTGCCCACCCCTGCTCTAGTGATCGGTGTCCCTCACTGGCGAGTCACCGTCCGCTCCCCAAGGCTGTCTCACAAGACCCAGGGGCACAGGCAGAGTAAGGGTTAGCTTACCCTTTTCACATCTGAGGGCGGCCCCCACTGCTCTGCCAGCCCAACCTGGGGGAGTCTTCATGATCAAGACACACCCACCAGGCCTGACCTAGCCTGTCACCTGTCACCGGCCTGGCCCCTGGACGCAGGCAGCCCCGTGGATCAACGCCACGGTCCCTGACGGAGCTGCTCTCCCCTGGGCGACCACACGCTCCTCACGAAGTTTGTGCAGGCCTCCTCAGTGCGGGCACACATCGCTGGAGCAGGCTCCTGGGGCGGCTCCAGGTCCCCATCTGCTGTGAGGTTGCCCCACCCAGGGTGCACAGCCCAGGCCCAGGAACCACCACCTGCAAGCTGCTGTATTTGAAAGAGTAACATTTATTGTTTTCTCACTAGATCTTCCTTACAGTGTCCCAAACACAGCACCACCCAGCCGAGCTGCAGATACACGCGGCGGCAGCCTCGGCCAGGCCAGCACAAGCGGCGGGCTCTCACGGGGCACCCTGATGCCTCCTGACACCCGCAGGGGCTGGCGATGTGAAAGGACCTTGGATTCTGCTGAAGACCCCACAAAGCCCCCTCACCGCTGCACTGGGGGCTGGTTCTGTTATCATCGGTGGAGACAGGGCGTGCCCCTTCCTGGAGCGTGGTCAACCTGGTCAACCTGCCCCACGCCCAGCCATGGGAAGTACCTTGGGATGGAAAGGTGCAGGGGTTTCAGGGTGGTGGGGGCCTGGAGGAGTGCGAAGGGCTTCCAGAGGTAGCCTGCGCTGTTCCCCAGCCTAGGCCGGGCTGTCCTGTCAGTAAGGGGCCATGGGCTGCCGTGGAATCCGACTATTTCCTCTCTGCCTCTCGGACTTCAAGCACTTGGTTTGTGTGGAAATGAACATGGAGCGAGCAGGCAGCCACGGAGGCTGTGCCAGCTCTGTACGCAGAAGGCACCAGATGGTTTGTTATGAAACACATTTTGGTCAGAAAATAGCTGGGATTTTTGGTTCCTGGGAGGACAACAAAGCTGGGGTGGGGGGTGAGGGTGGAGAGGGGGTTGGAGAAAGCAGCTTTGGCATCCGATGGGGCTCAGCTCCCCACAACCCTGCCTCCCTGCAGTCTGTGTTGCCTCAACTGTCTAAGGGCCAGACAACAGTTTTGAGTGAGTGCAGAAAGGGGAGGTTGGGGTCAGAGAAGTACACACACACACACACACACACACACACACAGAGCTGGCAGACCTGGTCTGCACGATGGGCAAAGTGATGACCCTGGAGTCCGAGGTGGCCACGACCCTGGTCGTGGGCATGGGTGGCGCTCCCCCACAGGGACTCTGGGAAGTCAGGCAGGAAGAAAGCTGCCTGGCAGCACCACCCATCCGCTGTGTGCTTTAAAGTGCCCAGCGACACGGTGGCTTTGGTCAGGGCCCAGCCGTCCGAGGGCCCCTGGGACCAAAGGCCAAGCCCGGGCCAGCTGGGGCCCCAAGGAAGGCGGCTGGAGGACACAGTCCCCTCCTGAGGCTGCGAGCGCCCGCCCGTGCGAAGCTCCAGCAAGCTGACTGCCCCCAGAAGACAGAGGAGTCCTGAACCGGCCGTGCCGTGGGCTCCGCAATGGGCTTCAAACGAAGGGCCGCCGCTCAAAATGACCAGCTGCTCTGGGAGAAAGAGGCCGTCTGCTGCGTAAAGATTCAGTCTCAGAAACCCTGAGGAGCACTTCTCCTCGGTCCCGCTGGGTCGCTGTGCTCCAGAACAAACGGCAGCGGGCCTGTTTCCCCTGAGCATGACGGGGCCTCTGGCGCAACGTGGGCCCTTAGCAGGGAGGGCCAGGGAAGGCTTCGGTCCTGTCCTGATGCCTCAGCCAGAGAGTGAGCGAGCGGGAAGCTAGTTCTAACACCACACACGGCACACAGCGGGCGACATGCTGGACGCAAACTGGGGTCCAAGCAAGAACAGTAGTCACTGAATAAATAGTGAAGGCATCTTTGAGCTCCGAGAGAGAGCGCGGGGTGAGAGGAAACAGCCCCTCCGGCTCCCTGCCAACGAAGGCTGCAGCCGGAGGGGCCTCGGAGGCTTTGCTCCCCTCACGTAGTGTCTGCTCGCCCGGAGCCCTCAGAAATGGAAGAGGTCGTCCTGTTCGGTGCCACTGCCGTCAGGCTTGTCCCAGTCGACAGGCGAGAGGCACTGGGCGTACTGGATGTCCTGGGCCGTCAGGCCGATGTCCAGGACCTGAGGGTTCGTCCGAGACTGGGCCAGCCTGGAAGGCAGGGCTGTGTGAGCACAGGGCCGGGCCAGGACCGGGGGCAGAAGGGAGGATTGGCAGGGTGGGGGAGTGGAGCGCACACAGCACAGTCCCTGGTGCCAGGAGAGGCAATGCCCTCAGCTACAGAGCTCAGAAAACCGTGGGGCAGGTGGCAGGCATTCCCACTGGGTGTCCCAGGGCAGGCCTGGGAGGAGGAAGGGCAATGCTGGGGGCGGAGCATGGGGCATAGCCCATCAGAGGCCACCTGCCAACACAGCAGCCCTCAGCCACAGGAAGGCGACAAGCCCAGGCCCCCTGGTGAGAAGACAAGGCATCTAGAACATGGCAGTTACAAGGGGCTCCACCTAACAGCTGGAGGGACACTTCTATACACTGGTGGTACCCAGTGGGAAATCAGGGTGCTCAAATGTTAATGCGAGGAGCTGATCAAGGCAGAAGAAAAGGGTAAGTATAAAGTCTAGGCTGTGGGGTTGTGGGACAGTGCTGTTTTCTAGTAAATGCTTTGCTGAGTTCAAAGTAACTAATAAAGGGCACGGGACACTTGCATGACCTGGAAACTAAACGGCTGATTTTCTTCCAGAAGGGCTGGTGTTCGGCCGGCTGCCACAGGCAGCAAGTAGCCTGCCAGGCTAGGCCCAAGGGCTCCAGCCGGTGGATGAGTGCCGCTCCCACCCAGTGCCCACAGCCTTGGCTGACCCTCCAGTCCATGCCCCGGGTGGGGGAACCCTGAGCTGTCTAGGACTAAGTGTCCCTCCACCGCCGCAGGCTTCGGTGAGGCATGGCTACAGGGAGGTCCCTCGGGAAATGCCACTGCCCTCAGGCTGGCTCCAAATCTCCTGGAGGCAACACTCTGGGGCCTTCACTAAACCCCTTTTCACAAAGGCTAACCTTCGGAAAGCCACCTGTGGGCCCACACCAGGTGCAGGCAGAGGGAATCAGTGCAGCCTCCAAGAACTGCTGAGTGCGCCCTGGGCTGCCTGCTAACCACAGGTGTGAGGTTCAAGCCACCAGCCGCTCCTCGGGCGAAAGAGGAATCTGTGGGCTCCAGGCAGAGCCACTGTCTCAGGCACCCTGTGCAGTTCACTGCGCTAGGAGTAGGTATTGCTAGGAGTTGGACAGCTGGCAGGGGGGTGGGGGTTTGGATGTGGGATGGCTACCACTGGCCGGGCTCCCTCGGGCAGTGAGCCCCCTGGCCCTTGGAGGTATGCAAGCAAAAAGGGATAGGGCCTCTTGCTCTGGAGCGGATCACTTTCAAATACCCGGCGGAGGGCCCCGGGAGGAAAGGGCAGGCCAGAACCGAGGATAGCTGCTGCCGCCCCCACCTGTCCCCAGCTCCTCAGAAACCCAGCGCCTGTACCTTGAAAAGGCTTCGTCCAGGCCGTCATCCAGCTCCTTGGGGAAACGGGGAGAGAAGAGGCCTAGAGGAGGAGCCCACGCACGGCAGAGCTGGCCCCGCCTGCGAGAGCGACCGAGGCCTGGGGGGGCGACCAGGGCTGCCGCCGCCGGGTCAGCACCTGCCCGTGGGCCGTGAGGGCCCGGAGGAAGGGCATGGCACAGAGGCCAGAGTGGGTTCAGTTCCCAGCTCGGCCACTGCCCACGAGGAGATCTTGGGCCACTCATTGGTCCTCTTTGGGAAACAGCCTTTCCTTCCATGAAAGCAGAGAGCCGGGAATGAGGGTCTTGGGCCTTCAGACACCTCGGGATGGCTAGCTGGTGGTGCGTATCCCACCGCCCAGGGTGGGAAGCGAGGCCCGCCTGCCCCTTACTGCAGCCTCCCTGGAGAAAAGGCATAGTTCCCGGGGCACAATGCACAAGATTTAAGTAGCTGTGCCCCACAAAGTATGATGTGCTCCTGCCCCGGGCCCCAGGCCATAACAGGGGCAGGGGACAGGTGGGGCCCCAGAGCGAGGTCTGCAGAGTGGACTAACACTGCTTCAGGGCTGACTTCTCGATGCGCATCAGCGTCGAGTGGTTATATAACATGTTAACATTTGAACAGGGATTCTTCGTACTATTTTGGTAACTTTCTTTAAAGGCTGAAATTATTTCCAATTGAAAAACTAAACCCATTTTAAAACACCAGCCCCTGCCCACCTGTAAAAGCGTCGGGGTCCTGCAGAGATCTCACCGAGAGGGGGAAAGCCTGAGACACGGAGCGGGCAGGGGACTCACCCTGTGTCACATGGCAAGGCAGGGGCCAGGCTACCGACTGCCGGGCCCCGGGCTCCCAGTGGGGGAGTGCAGAAGCAAACCCCGCCCATGCCCACAACAAGGAGCCTCAGAGGCTCGGGACAAGAGGCTGGCACTGTGAGGGGACAGTTGTGGGGGTGGGTGGGTCAGGCCTGGTGAGGACAAAGCCCCGCGTTCCAAAGGGACATTGTTCAACCCTTACCCAGCAGCTGGGAAGCTGCTGGGCCAGGCCTGACCCTCCCTCCCAGAGGCCATGGGTCACGTGTCCGAGGTCTGGCTGGGGTCCCAGGGGGCCCAGCCCCAACCACTCACCCAGACAACACCGCTGTTGCTCAGGGCTGGAGGCCGAGGAGCTTCATCCGTGTTAGGGGTGTTGGCGCTGACCGTGGACAGTGGGGCCTTGGGGGTCTCTTCCAAGTCCAACAGGTTTCCGGTGGCAACCACTAGAGGGGTGCGGTTAGGGGTGTCAGCCCAGCTGGGGTAGGAGCAGGAAGCAGACCCAGGCCTAGCCGTCAGCCCCTCCAAAGCCCCCGGGGGCTGGTAGCGCCTGGCAACAGCCCACAAGGCTTCTACCCTGAGCTGGACTTGGGCTGGGACTATAACTGTCACCAGAGAGGTGTCGGAGAGAGCGTGCGGCAGGATAGACGGCGAGATGGAGCCAGACCCTGCACGGAGACTCAGTCGGAGAAGACGTGCCTTTATCTGCACTTCCCAATGCATGGATAATGAACATGCATTACTGATTTGAAAAACAGAGAAGGCCGAATGAAGGCCCTGAGCCGGCCCCAGCCCAGGAGAGAGTAGCCTGGCCCCTCCCCTGGCCCAAGACTCACGGCTCTTCAGTGAGGGGACGCTGTCACGGTGGGTCCCGCCTGGGACATCCCCCGCCTCTTGGAGGGCTTTCTCCCTCTTCTCCTTCTCTGTGGGACCAAGGCACAGCTTGCTGCAGCCTCCCAGCACCCAGGGCCGGGAGGGACAGCGCTTCCCAGGTGGTGTTTCCGCATCTCAGCCCCTTAGGGAGGGTGCCCCCTGTCCCGTTTTCAGATGGGGAAGCTGAGACTCAGGTGAAGATCCCAAGTCCCATGCTGGGTGAGTGAGGGGGCTGGGAGTCCCCAGTACCACCCCGCTGCCTTCTTCCCACCCCCGCCTCACCTTCCTTGGACACCTGCCAAAACTCAAAGGCAACTTTGAAGGCTTGGGCTACGGTGAGGGTGACGGCCTGGGCCTGAAAAACAGGAAGCGGGTGTAGGGGGGTGGGGTGTCAGCAGGGGATGCAAGTCTGAACTGGAGGACTGGGCCTCCCAGGCCAGACTATGCCCCCTCCTTGAGGACCAGGGCCCTGGCTCTGGGGTGCCTGCTGGGTGGAGGCCATCCCAGGTCACTGCAGCATGGCTGCTGCAGGTGGAAGAGGTCCCGCTCTCCTCAGGTGTCTCGGCTGCCCCACGTAGCCCTGCCCCGTGGCAAGCACCTCCGCAGCCGCTGCTCGCCCTCTCCGCTGAGGCCGGGGCTCACTTCCTCTGAGTGCCCAGGCTCCCACAGTCAGCCGGGCCATTGCCACTCAGAGCCACCCATGGGGCAGCGTGCCACTAACTGCTCCTGAGGGTTTTTGTCTGAGATGGTAAACCCACATCTTTCTACCGGGGCGGCTGGTAGGTTTCAGCCACCCACTGTGTGGTTAACAACTCAACACTTACCAACCACGGGGCCACCAAGTTTCCGTGTCCTCTGGGAAAGCCAAAAACCACACCAAACTCTGCCCCTGAGCCTATCCGACTCACGGCACCCCTTACAGGAGTGGGTAGACTTGTCCTGTGGGGTTTCCAGGTCTTTAAATCCCTACAGGAGCAGGCAGCCTCACCTCTCTCCCTTTGAGCAGCTGGTGGGTTTGAACCACTGACCATGTGGTTATAGCAGGCCAAAACTTAACCCACAGGCCACCAGGGCCCCTTTCCTCCAGGAAAACCAAACACCAAACTCACTGCCATCGAGTCGATGCTGACTCACAGCACCTCCGTAGGACAGGAGAAAACGGCCCCTGTGAGTTTCCGAGACTGTAACTCTGCGGGAGTAGAAAGCCTCTTCTTTCTCCCGAGGAACGGCTTGGTGGTTTCAAACTGCTGACCTTGTAGTTAGCAGCCCAACAAGTAACCCCTCCGCCACCAAGCCTCCCTAGTTAGCTTAGGGCTCCACATGCTGACTCAGCCCTTGGCACAGAGAGCAGAACAGGGAGTGCCACAGAGGGCACGGCTGGTTCGCCCAAGGCCGGCTCAGGGAGGTGCCTGGATCCCACCACGGTGGGGAGGAGGGAGCGAGGCCTGGCTCCGGGCCAGAGCTCACATAGAGGGGGGGACGCGAGGACACCTTCCCCACACCTTCACCCCTTAAGGTCAAACTCCAATGTGACCACCTCTCCAGTGTCCCCGGCTCTGCGTGCTGACAGCCCTGGCCACCCCACCAGGGCCTCGGGCATCTGAAAGTGTTGTTAGCAACCCTGTGTGCACCGCCCCATCTGTGTGCTCCCTGGGGACATGTCCTAACACCTCCGCTCCCCAGCACGGGTCACCGCTGTGCAGAGAAATCAAGGATGACAATGGTGGAGACACATGCCCAGGCTTGGGCCCCACGCTCCAGCCCACCCCCCTGGTCCAGGGCTAGTCAGCAAGGAGGGCCAGCGTGGGCTCTAACTATACCCAGGAGCGACGGGGTGATTCCTTCAGAAAGGCCAGCCTCCCTTTCAGTGTACAAGTCCAGGCCTGGCCAGCCGGGCCCCACTCCCTCCCCGCCACCAGACAGCGGGCTCTAATTGAGAGATGAATTCGTAGCAACCGCTGTTACAAAAAAAATTTTTTAACAAAAATTCTTAAATCCCTAAACAAGCTGACTGATCCATGCCAATTAAACTTCACGAAGGATAAAATCTCATTTGAATGTCTCCAGCATTTACATGTTTGATGGAAGTACGGGTGCTTTATGGCAAAACTTAAATATGGTAATTAAGTATGAAACTCCTCACAGCTGTTTACAATTTAAACCATCACGTCTGAATCAAGTTTAATAGACCCAGTTACCATTGAGAATTGCCATGAACTAAAAATATGGGCTAATTACCAGCCAGAGTCAGATGGATGCACACCCAGGCAAGGGCTGGTCACCCAACGTGCCCGGGGTAGAGAAGCAGCATTAGCTTTCGCCTCTAGGAAATTTGGGGGCACTTGCTTGATACTGTTCCGGCATAAATCTGCCTGCTCATTTGAATACATGCCCATCCTTCTGCCCGCCCTGGAGTCCCAAGCGGCAAGTTGAACCAAATCGGATCCTGGAATCCTAGGTGCCGATGTTGCAAGTGGCTGCAAGCCCAGGCTGGGCTGGGTGGAGAGGGGTGACCTGGCTTCCTGGGGAGGTGCAAGAATCCAGGCTCAGGGGACTGCTTGGGCCTGCCTGTCAGGGAGCCCTCCTTCCTAAGTCCCCTAGGCCTGAGGCTGATCACTCTCCACCCCCAGCTGAGTGCCTCCAGTCTGTGAGCCTGTCTTACTATCCGGACCAGTTCTGACCTCACCTGACAGCCAGGCTGCCAGCCCTCACAAGGGCCACCTCTAGCTCGGGCTGCACACCCTGGGCCCCTGGGGCCCAGAATGGTCCTTAAGTCAGGTCATATGCTTCCTAGCAGCAAAGGGCCCAGAACCAGATCTCGTACAAGAGCAACAAGCTGAGAATGACAAGGGACTGTTGTCTGTGGGAGGGGCAGCAGACTGCCCGCAACAGAGGCTGTCTGTCCTCCAAAGACTCGGTACCGCTGCTTCCTGTCAGTGCAGACCCACCCAGTCCCGGCTGAGCCCTGAGCTCCGGGCCAAGGCCAGCACTCGGCCTCCATTCCACAAGCAAAGGCTGAAAGGGTGCGCCTGGCCCTCAGCTGGAAGCTAACATGACGCTGCAGACTGCCTATCCTGGTCATGCCAAAGAGCTACTGGGAGAGCAAGACCCCTCTGGAAGCTTCTTCCCCCAGATCCTGGATGGGTCAGGGGTCGTGTAGACTCTAGGAGTGAGGGCTTCAGGTCCCTGCAGGCTGAGCCGGCCCTGCCCACTCCAGGCTCCAGGGACCAGGACTCCAACTGCGCTGGGATTTCCCGGCCTCTGTCCATGCCATGTCCTAGTCTGCGGCACTGACCTCTTACCACCCTCACCCCTTCCTGGCCAACTCCCCTCATCACTGAGCCTCCCGAGCCCAGCTCCCCTCATCACTGAGCCTCCCGAGCCCAGCTCCCAGTGTCTCCTCCTCCAGGAAGTCTTACTGCCATCCTAGGGAGGCTGCACTACCTCCACCCGGAGAAGCTCAGGTTTCCAGGACAGCCTAGGCATAGCTGAGGCTCTGGGAGCCACAGACCTCATCCTGGAGCCCGACCCTGGGCCGGGCCGGGCTGGGCTGCACGAGCACACTCCTGGGAGCCGGCAAGAGGCTGAGTCAGGAGCCAGCCCCCATGACAATGAGAACGCCTGCGGAAGCGGAGTCTGGGCCCTGGGCAGTCTGCTAGCCTGCTCTGCTCTCCAGCTAGTTGCCAGCAAGGGCCGGGCTGTTTTCCTTAGAACTGACCTCGTGGTCTGTGGCAGGCCGGTCTCTTTCAGGTCAGTCTGAAGACCTCTGGCCCCAGGCCGGTACCCACTCCCTCTTTGCCCCAGGACCCCGACCCCAGGGGGAGCCTCTGCATCCTGGAAAACCCACTGGACCCAAGGCCCGTGTTCGGCAGCTATCCGGGCCCTGGGCCAGCTGTCCCTGCCCAGCGCTCACGCCGGCCAGTGGGGAGGAAGAGACTAACAATGGGGACATAATGAGCTTTTATTTTTAAGTCTGTGTGGCCCTCATGAAAGACAAATCTCAGAGCCACTGCCTGTGGGAACAAGGCTGTCACAGGAGAAGTTCAGGCCACTGGCTGGGTGTCATAAGGCTCTGGGTGAGTGGCCGACAACACCGAGTCTGCAGGAGAAAAATGAGGTGCACGAGAGCGGGGGGCTGCAGGACAATCCTGGAAGGCACCCAGAGATGGCTCCCTTGACGGGCGGGCGGGCAGGCAGCCCCAAGGGTAGAGTTTGTCCAAGGTCACACGCACAGTGGCCAGGGTCACACCAACAGGCTGTCTCATCCTGCAGTGCTCCTGGGTAACGATTTCCCACAGATGGCCCGGTCCAGCCCTGGGCCGTGTGGCTCAGTCACCTTACTGTATTGGCAGGACTCAGGTAAAGACTGTGAGTTTGGACTGGGCAGTTGCCCTGCATGCAGCAGGAGGGCCAGTTAGAACAGGCGGCGTGGACGCGGACAGAGGGAGACTGGGAGCATGTTGAAGACGGAGGATGGGGTCACAAGCCAAGGAACACAAGTGGTCGCTAGAAGTTCTAGAAAAGTCAAGGAGCCCTCAGAGCCCCCAGAAGGACCCACTTGAGATGCTGCCCCCCAGAAGTGTCAGCTGTGGCCTGGCCCACCTCGCCCATGGCTCTCAGGACCCGTGGGCTTTGAGAGCAGGGCTCTCAAAGGGGCTTCCCACCTCTGCTGCAGTCACTGCAGTCGGCAGGTCCTGCCTTCCTCATCTCCAAGGGCAAGGCCACCAGGGCCAGCCACCCCGCCCCACCCCCTCACCCCCCTCTCCCCACTGACCATCTTGCGCTTGGTGCAGAGAAAGGCGTGGCACTCCAGGCTCTCGCTGTGCTGGCTCTGGGCGATGTACGCAAACACCTTGTCGTGCATCTTGTCTGCCGTGCAGTAGGAGATCCTGAAACGCAAGCGTGTCACCAGACCTGGGCACCGGGGTCACCCCCTAGGAGCGCTCTCTGAGACATGGCCTTGCCCATCGACAGGCGAGGAGTGAACTGACCATCTGACTCCAGGCAGTCTCAGACATGACCAGCTCCCGCCTGCCCCACCAAAGGGGAGACCAGAGTGCTGCTGCTGCTGCTGCTGCAGCCAGTGCCAAGAAAACAGTCACCCAGCTCCCGGGATGCAAGCATTTCACAGTCATGAGGCTTCTCGCTCTGAATCTGCCTTCCGTTTGTCGAGCCCGCCCTGCTCAGGCTTCACAACACATGCCTGTCGGGGGAGGACCGGGCATGGGGCTGCACAAAGGCACCCGCCTGCCTGGCTCTCTCCTGCCCTGTAACAGGCAATGTGCCGAGCACTGAGGCAGCGCCACAGGGATTCCCAAAGCCGCTTTGCAGAGGATGACGCTGAGGCTCAGACCACAAGCCAGTGGCAGAACAGAGCCCTGAGCTCTCCAGAGACCGTGACCCCAGCCTTGATGCTCCTTCAGGATCTGCACCGACTGGCCGCAAGGAGAGATGGCCAGCCCCTGCCCACCGAGGCCCTCCACCTGACCTCCTCCTGCCAGCCCTCCCACTCATCCATGCCCCAGTCCAAGGCCAGGGCCCTTCCAGGCCACATGAGCTCCCCCTGCATCCCCAGGGTCCCCACCCCTTTTCCATGAAGCTCCCAGCACCCCAGGACTCTCACAGGAGAGGTGCTGGCCACCCAGCACCTGCTTGTCTGTCCTTGGTATCTATCAGGTCCAGCCACCTCCCTCGAGAGAGCTTCTGACTTCCCGGGCAGGTCCCCCTTCTCTGCCACCTGGAGGACACTCATCATTCTCGGCTCCCGTTGCTTTCCCTCCGGCTCTTCCCGGACTGGACGCTCCGCGAGCGAGCGCAAGGTGAGGGCTTCCGCTGGCCCTGAGCCCAGGAAGCAGGAGCTTGGCAAGCACTGGCGAAAGGAAGGAAGCCGATTCTTCCCGCCTGAGACCAGAGCTGGATGATGCCTGGCTGCCAGCCACTCGGGCCAGAGGCACAGCACAGGGACGAGGGAGAGCGAACCAGGGGCAAAACTCAAGCTCCTCCAAAAGGCCAGAACCACTGGGTCACAGGGACCAGCAGGTGCCCGAGTTGGTCACCCTCAGGTCACCTTTGAACGTGGAACAGAAGCTATTCCTGTGGGCCACCCTCCGGCCAGTAACAGATTGGCTTAAACATTAAACAGTGTCACCCATGAGTAATGTGTGCCCTCAAATACTGAGTGACAGGAGACCCAAGGGCCAACACCTGCCCAAACGCAAAGGTGGGAAGCAAGGCCAGGCAGAGGCGAAGTGAACGGACAATCAGTAGCCAGCACGGGCCATCAACGCTACCCAGCGAGCTGTCCAGTGTGTAGGCCAAGGGCTAGCCGGGAACTTCACCTGCAATGTAAACTTCTACTCCAATCACACTAAGGTATGATTCGATAAACATTCTTACAGGCAGGCTGAATGAGGAAGGTGAGGAGACAAGAGCCAGACGTGGGGATCTCTGCCCACTTCCCAAATTACACTCAGGTCTGGCTCAGCCACCGGTTGGGGACAAAGCCACAGGAGGGTGAGTTCTGGCCCAGGTATCCAGGTTCCAGCTCGGCCATGACCTCATTGTGGACCCTGGGCGAGTCCTTCTGGGCCTCCACGTCTCCATCTGTGGGGCAGACCCAGGCCATCGCTTCCCATGCTAACCTTGAGCGGCCAAGGGGAAGG